CGAGGCTTGGTATGACTTAATGCATCAGCAACCCTGTCAAATAGTTGAGGGTAGGAAAGGAGTCATCATTTTTTAACTATAGAAAAAAGAAAGAAAAGAAAAAAGGGCCAGGTGTGGTGGTGCACACCTGTAATCCCAATGACAGCAAGGTACTTAGCAGGGTCTCAGTGAGACCCTGCCTCTAAATAAAATATAAAAAGGGGCTGGGGATGTAGTTCAGTGGTTAAGCACCCCTGTGTTCAATCCTCAATACCAAAAAAAAAAAAAAAAAAAGGCGGGGGGAGTTTAAGTGAGAAAATATCTAAATAATGACTTATCTAGGTTTCTACAAAGCAACACTTGAATGTTTGCAGCAAATAACACAGAAAAAGAAGGAGGTGTTATAACCTATTAATAGCTACACCTTCAGTCTTATTGTCACTCCCAAGACAAGTGCTTTAGCAACAAGGCAGCCCTGGTCATTAGCTGAAGCTTTGATTTAGCATCAATGCAGAGAAAGTGTGCCAAGCCCTGACTGTCAACACTGCCTGCCTATATTTCCCCAGAGGGTCTCTCATTTAGGCGAGTAGCAGGCCAAGGCCTATTTAGCTGAAGAGATGAAATCTTCATTATTTTTATGTAGGCCTTTCTCTTTAATAAAAACAAAAATGAATGTAAAGAAAAACACACACAAAAATGGCCTCTTTCTTTTCTAAGCTGACTCATTGAACAATTGAGGACATATACCAACAAATGCTTCACCTGGTAAAACTGATTTAACACATTTTCTTTTTTGCGGGGAGCCCAACTTTATTTCAGTTTTTTAATATAAGAATTTTCAAATATGTACAAAATAGATGGAACAGTGTTGTAAAGACCCCACATGATCACCACTTAGCTAGCAATCCTCTCCTTGACTCCTCTTGTTCAAAATAGCTCTATGAAGTGAACTCGGCAGAAGTTCTCAATCCCTTGGTTTGGCTACAGCACTGTTGTCTCAAAGCATCTGATGGAATCTTGAAAGCCAAATTTTAATTCAATTTATTAAAAAATACGTATATGTCAAAGGTAAACTTATGGGAAGATGAAAAAAACATGTCACAAAATCTAACAGTCTAAATCCTAAATCACGATATTGCCTGGCATTTATTGTCAAGCACCAGCCACTTTGCTAGGTATCCGCCCCACATACCAATTAATTAAGTTAAAAAATAATATCATATAGTAACTATTGGTAACCCTATTTGAAAGGTGGGAAACTGAGACTTAGAGAAGCTAAGTGACAGACTCACAGTCAGAAGCAACAGAATTTGCAAGTTACATCGCCTGATTTCAAAGTCCTTGCTTTCTTATACGAATCATAGTGAAAGGTCCTACTAGAGCTCAGTCCAAAAGACGTGTGTTACTAATGTTACAAGGAGAAAGAAAGTGATAACCAATTTTTCTTTTTTGGGGGGAAAAACTAAAAAAAAAATTGTTACAGTTAAGCACTGGAATAATTAAGCAAGGAAATTAAGTCTACCTTACTTCATTAAAAAAAAAACCCTAGATTTCTTATCATGATCAAATGAATATGTAGATTGCTCAGCAATACAACAATTCACAGTAGCCATAATTGCATAGTGTGGCATTATCTAACCTTGTCCGCTGTCACAATGCTAAATCAGAAGTTGTGCAAAATAAATCACTGTGGATGCTTTCCCTACCTCCATCATCAGACAATTCCTCTGTAGTGCATTAGAATCTGAGTTTTATTAGCTTTGTCAGCCTCATCTTATCTAAACAATTGGATTTTATTTGACATTTAAAAAAATAAATGGCTTACAATTATCATTTTGTGTCCAGCTTCTATTGCTTAGTCATTTCTTTTAAAAATATTTCATTAGAGACAATTTTTTTATTTTAAACTTTTTTCATTTTACTCCACTTAAAGATTTTTTAAAAAAAATATGGAGCTGGGTTTGCAGCTTAAGTGGTAGCGCGCTCACCTAGCATGCGTGAGGCACTGGGTTCGATTCTCAGCACCACATAGAAACAAAATAAAAATATTGTGTTCACCTAAAACTAAAAAATAAATATTAAAAAAAATATTTTTTTAGGGCTGGGGTTGTGGGTCAGCGGTAGAGCACTGGCCTAACACGTGGGAGGCGCTGGGTTTGACCCTCAGCACCACATAAAAATAAATAAACAAAATAAAAAATATTGTGTCTACCTATTTTATTTATTTATTTTTATGTGGTGCTGAGGATCAAACCCAGCACTTCCCATGTGTTAGGTGAGCGCTCCACAGCTGAGCCACAACCCCCGAGGCCCCTGCCCACTTAAAGATTTTAATCAATTTTGAACAACTAATAATAAAAATTTTAAAAAAAGATTTTAATCAAGGTATTGCATACATACAATTTTTAAAAACTCACATTAAAGATTTTTTTTTTTTTTTTTTGGTGTACTTGAGATTGAACCTAGAGCATTCCACCATTGAACTAAACCCCTAGCCTTTTTAAATTTATATTGAGACAAAGTCTTGCTAAACTGCCCAGGCTGGCCTCAAATGTGTGATCCTCTTGTCTCAGATTCCTAAGTAGCTGGGTTTATAGGTGTGCACCACTGCACCTAGCCACATTGAATAACTTATAAAGACAAACTATCTTCTTGTCCTTCCCTTCCAAATGATCTCCCATTGATTGTCCCAGAAACACTCTTTGTTTTTCACCATCTTACCTATTTGTATATTTGTGACCATATACTTAGATGATACCTTTATAAAGGTATCACTTGATGTATTATATTTAACATTGTCTATGGACTTTCTGGCATCCTAGAAAGGGTTTATTTGTTCAACAAATATTGACGGAGTACCTACTGTATGTTAGATTTGCTCTACTTGCTTTGGGTGCCAGAGATAACAAAACAGTCCAATTCTTGACTGTCAAGTAGATAAACCCTCCCTCATACTTCTAGTAAGATTAGGGTCATGCACTGCATAATGACATTTTGACTAACTTTGGATTACATATATGACAGTGGTCCCATAAGATTATAATGGAGCTGAGAAATTCCTATTGCTTAGTGGCATTGCAGGTGTTGGAATGTCATAGTGTAATGTATTACTCATAGTATAATATATTACATATTTGTGGGGATGTATAAACAAACCTACTGTGATGTCAATCGTATAAAAGTATAGTACATACAATTATGTACAGTATATAATACTTGATAATGATAGTAAACACCTATGTTATTAGTTTGTGTATTTTCTATGACATACATTTTATTGTTATTTTATAGTGTACACCTTCTCCTTATAAAAATGTGTGCTATAAAACAGCAGGCGATGTTCTACCAGTAGCAGTGTCCTACAACTTATGTCAACCTCAGCTCTTTAAAAAAAATTTTTTTGTAGCTGTAGATGGACAGAACACCTTTATTTTATTTGTTTATTTTATGTGGTGCTAAGGATCGAATCCAGTGCCTTGCATGTGCTAAGCAAGTGCTCTGCCACTGAGCTGTAGCCCTAGCCCTCAACCTCATCTTTTGATTGCAGAATCTCTTGTGCTGATTCAATCTTGTGTTGTTCTGCTCATCATAGGCTAAACTATACATATATGATACAGCTTAGGTGTGTAGTAGGCTATACCACCTAGGTTTGTATAAATATGCTCTATAACGCTCTCACAACAATGAAACCACCTGACACTTTTCTCAGATTGTATCACATTATTAAGCAACACATGACTATATAATAGTTTTTATTTAAATCAATAATTTATTTATGTTATGTCTGTGTAAATATTATTCACTACAGTGTTCAGACTGTTCTATAATTATTGTACTTTTTTATGCAACTCTTTTTTAAAACATTTTTTAAGTTGTGTCTTAGTGCATTTCTGCTGCTATGACAAAATATCACAGACTGGGTAGCTTACCAACAACAGAAACTTACTTTCCACAGTTCTGGAGGCTGGAAAGTCCAAGATCAAAAGAGATCAAAAGTTGCTGACATTTCAGGATCTGACATAGACCTTCTTGCTGTGTCCTCACAGGGCAGAAGGCAGAGGACAAAAAGGACTGAACTGTGTGCGAAGCCTCTTTGATAAGGGCGTTAATCCTAAGCACAAGGGAGGAGTTCTGGTGGCCCAATCCCTTCCCAAAGGACCCACTTCTTAATACTATTTGCTTGGAAATTAAATTTCAACATGCATTTTGGGAAAACACATTTAGACCATAGAAAGTTGTCACAACTGCTCAGTTAGAACCATGCTCCAGGGGCTGGGGCTGGGGCTGGGGCTCAGTGGCAGAATGCTCGCCTAGCACATGGGAGGCCCTGGGTTCAAACCTCAGCACCATATAAAAATGAAATAAAGATATCATGTCCAATGGCCACCTACAACTAAAAAATAAATATTTAAAAAAAGAACTATGCTCAATTTTTCACTAGTTTTACCTCAAATGTTCATATTAATAAAAATTGATCTATTTCTTGTTTTCCTAGAGACTCGTATGTGGATGATACTGTTGTGTTCCAACCTGTCTTGCCTGCTCTCCAGGCAGACTTCCTCAGTGTTGGATTGCACTGTTTCCTTGATTCCTTGTCTTTCTTCATCTCGGTGTATATCCCTGTTTTGTTGGAATCCATCCTAAGGAAAATCCAGAGAAGGATGAATGGAAAATAATTTTTTTAGGTGCTTCAGTACATGACAAATGAAGTACTTTGAAGTCCACGAAGGCATATTAGTCTTACTTTATTGTTTGGACTCTATTTTCTCCCCTAGCTCAAAGAGAAAGTCTTGAGTATTATTCTGGGCAATCATAGAATAGGCATTTTTCTGCTTCTGTTAGGAATGTGTGTCCTGGGTAGTTCTGCAATATGCTACAAGAACTTTAAAGGAACAAACAATACTGGCAATTGGAAAATTCCAAAAAAAAAAAAAAAGAAAAGAAAAGAAAGAAAGAAAGAGAAAAAGAAAAGAAAGAAAGAAAAAGAAAAAAGGGGAAAAAAGATAAAAAGAACACAGACATAGAACTGTAAATCAATATATTTCTGCTGTGGGGATCAACCCCACCTATGTCATTTCCCCAGAAGCAGATGTAGAGTTGGGTGAGGAAGGTTTATTGGAGAATGTTCTCAGGGACATAAACTTTAAGGAGTAAGGGCCAGAGGGAGTAGTTGACCAGGGATGCAATCACACAGAGGCCTCAGTCGATCCCATAGGAAGCTCTGGAGTTGGATCTAGAGTTGTCCCACCTAGACATAGGAAGCCAGATCTTCATAACCTCACATTGGCCAACTGTTAAAACTAGCTAGTTGTCAACAACTAGCTCCAGGAGAGAGGCCTGACCTGGAGATGATCTGAGTAAAGTGTCTCTTTTGCTGATGACAATTTGTAAAGAGCTTTGCAGTTGTGAGTCAGCAGCCAACACACCTGGCAGACCACAGTGTCCACTATAATATATAAAGAACTTGTCTTCTTGAAAGTCCATGAGCTGAAATGTTGGCTCTTTGTTTCATTTCTCCTAGATACCTATGAAGAAAAAATGGACAATTCAGTGGCAGGAGTGAAATTATATTTGGAGTGAGAAGGAGCTAAGAACTGTTTAATCCAAAAGCTAGATAATTAGTCTCCAAGAAATAGAACAAATGAAATGAACTCTGAAAAGATTTAACTATTTTATTTGGTTTTGCATTTTGTGTATTTTGGGTGTACTAACTTTAGTTAGCAGTCATTCTTGAATTTTAAACATGAAGTGAAGGCCATTGTGTTTAGGTTTATATAGTATTAAATTGGGGAAAGTTCAAAGACAGTACTTTCAGGATTTGGGGGTTGTGGTTCAGCGGTAGAGCATTCGCCTACTATGTGCAAGACCCTGGGTCCAATCCTCAGCACCACATAAAAATAAATAAAATAAAGGTATGGTGTCCAAATACAGCAACAACAACAACAACAAAAAATACTTAAAAAGAAAAGAAAACACTCCGAATGTATTTCAACTGCTCTTAAAAGAGGAGGGAATTGTAGAAGTCAAAACTCCTCACCAAGCCAGTGCAGTGGTGCATGCCTGTAATCCCAGTGGCGGGAAGGCTGAGGCAGGAGGATGGTGAGTTTAAAGCCAGCCTCAGCAAAAGTGAGCAACTCAGTGATACTAAAATAGGTGAGTCTTTAAGCATATAGGAAAAAAAATCCCCATTTTTTGTACATTATCGCGATGTTTATAGAAGTAATATGCAATACTGTCCATCCTTCATTCTGTATCAAATTGTATCTATTCTTTTTTTTAGTTGTAGTTGCACAATATCTTTATTTATTTTTATTTGGTGTTGAGGATTGAACCCAGTGCCTCACACCTGTGAGGCCAGCGTTCTACCAACGAGCTACAGCCCCAGCCCTCAAATTGTATCTTGCTGTTGTATTTGTTATACTTTAAAGAAACAGTTGAAGAGGGGCCATGGTTGTGGCTCAGTGGTAGAGCGCTAGCCTAGCATGCATAAGGCACTGGGTTCAATACCCTGTACCACATAAAAAGAAACAAATAACATGAAGGTATTGTGTCCATCTACGACTAAAAAATGTTAAAAAAAAAAAAAAAAGGCTGAGATTGTGACTCAGTGGTAGAGCGCTTACCTAGCATATGTGAGGCACTGGGTTCAATTCTCAGAACCACATATAAATAAATTAATAAACAAAATAAAGGTTCATATACAATAAAAGAAAACAGTTGAAGAATAAAGAATATCATCTCAAATGCTTACATCTCCAACTATCCCATGGTTCCCTCTTCTGTCTAATTAAAGGCTATGTGTGGTTTTTTTTTTTTTTTTTAATTTTTATTTTGTTGTTGTTATTGTACATGGACACAGTGCCTTTATTTTGTTGATTTATTTTTATACGGTGCTGAGGCCAGTGCCTCACACATGCTAGGCAAGAGCTCTACCACGGAGCCACAACCCCAGCCCTGAGCTTTTTTTTTTTAACCTTCCGATAATTACATTATACTTCTTGAAAGTGACAGAAATTTAGTCACATCCTTTGATGTCTTTTGTTGTTGCTAGAAAGTCAATATTTTCTAGACAAAGATATGTCAGAAACATTCAAGACAAATAGCTAAGGGAAACAACAATTTGAAACTTTGAGTCCATTACAAACTTCAAATCTGTGGCAAACCCAAGTAAAGGAGGAGAGGGGAACTCAACAGCCTAAAGACCTGTTGTTGGAAGACTGAAGTATGGGGGTCAAATAATACAGAACTTCAGAGGAGGGAGGGGTGCGTTTCTGTCAGGTCGCGGCTTAGCTGGTTCCTTGTGACAAGACGCACCAGGAAGGCAAACAGCAGCCAGTCATGGCTGGAGCACTGAGCTGCACTCTCAACCAGCGGCTGAATCCAGCAGCCTGCCCTGAGAACCGAGGCAGTTGGCCTCTCTCCCGGTGAAGGCCAGGGAGACAGTTTAAGCCTCATCTAAGAGAAACTCCAGGAAACTCTTTCTGGACGTTAGGTGAGTTTGGACTCTGTTCCATATGCTCAGTGTTTCCTGCCTTTGTTGACACAGAGGCTCCATTACCTGCAATACAGAGCTATAAAATTCAACAGGACTTTAAGAGAGATGGTGAAAAATAAGCCTTCCTCCCTCCTCTGTCCAGCCTTTTCATTCCCTTCCCAGAAGTGAGCACTGTTTCCAACTTGTGGTGTATTTGCCTCAAAGATATTCTAAGGGCTGGCGTTGTGGCTCAGTGGTAGAGCGCTTGCCTAGCATGTGTGAGGCACTGGGTTTGATTCTCGGCACCACATAAAAGTGAATAAGTGAAATAAAGGTATTGTGTCCTACTACAACTAAAAAATAAATATTTTAAAAACAGATATTCTAAAGTGTTGGTTTAAATAGTTGATACTTTTTATTTTTACTTTGATCACCTCCTTGTCACTTGAAATCAATATGTTAGAAGATGGATTTAGTCTTATGAGTCCATAGTAAACTTTTATGAGTCCATAGTAAACTTCTGCCAGCTTTTTTTTTTTTTTTTTTTTAGTACCCAGGGGTGCTTTGCTGCTGAGCCACTTCCTCAGCCGTTTTTGTTTTTTAATATTTTGAGACAGGTCTACTAAGTGGCTGAGGGCCTTGTTAATTTGCCAAGGCTGGCTTTGAACTTGTGATCCTTCTGCCTCAGCCTCCAGAGTGGCTGGAATTACAGGCATGAGCCCCCACTCCAGCCCTCTGCCAGCTCTTAATGATAAATTACTACTTTGTAAATTAAATTATACAATGTGTGACTGTCCTTGCGTATCTCCTGGACCAGATTAATGTAGTTTTCAGAGGTTACATATTACAGCTTATTCGGGGACCAGGTAGGGAATAGAAATACGTAAAATGGCTGAGAGGAGCGAACTGGTAATTGACAACAAAGGCATTTCGAAGGCCAAGTTTATTATACACATAATAAAACTACACTATGTAGTCTTGTGGCCTTTCATTACAGTTTTTCCTTTTATAAAAGTAATTCCATATTTTTGATTGACATAATATTTACACATATTTACAAAGTATACTGTAATGTTTTTGATTCATGTATATATTGGGTAGTGATATATATATATATATATATATATATATATATACATATATACACACATATATACATATATACATACATACATACATACTCAGGGTAATTAGCACATCAATTACCTTTAAATTTCATCACTTCTTTATGGGGATTACATTCCAACCCTCTTTTTATTTTGAGATATATAATACACTATTGTTAATTATATTCACCCTGCTGTGCCTTAGAACATCAGAATTTACTCCCTTTATCAAATTATGCGCTGTGCATACACTAACTTTGGCCTTTGAAGTACCTTTAGACGGGGCATGTCCATTGGTATCCTCCCCACCACTTCCAGTCGTCTTCTCCCAGCTATTTCACATGTGACATGGTTCCCAGTGGCCGGCCTCTCCCCTTCCCCACTTCCTCCTACTGGTCCAGACTCTGGTAACCCACTACTGAGTCACCCCAAGCCTGGCAGCTTAGACCAAGGCCATTTCTGAGTTTACAATTCTAGGGTTGGAAACCTGACAGAGCCCGACTGGATTCCTGTTGGGGTATAGTTACACTGAAATCACTGGACTGGGTTTTTGTCTGGAGGCTGCAGAGAATTTGCTTCTCACCTCAAGCAGGGTGTTGGCAGATTTCAGTTCTTTGTGGTTGTAGAACTAAGATCACCCTTTCCTCGCTAGCTGCCAGCCTGGGGCCACTCTCAGCCCCTGAAACCCCTGCATCCCTGTTTCCCCTCATCTTCAAAGCTGCCATGGAGAATCTCCTTTGCCAGGAACAACCCTTCACTTCCAAGAGCCTGTCTTCAGGCTTGTTAGAGCAAGTCTTTTTTTTTTCTTTTTAGTGACAACACAATGAAAATGTATTTTTGAAATGTTTTAAATTGACATAAAATTGTACATTTTTGCAGGATCTCACATGGTGTTTATTTTTTTGGGGGGGAGGTGGGGGGTACCAGGGATTGAACATAGGGGTATTCGCTCACTGAGCCACATCCCCAACCCTATTTAGTATTTTATTTAAAGACAAGGTCTCACTGAGTTGCTTAGCACCTTGCTTTTGCTGAGGCTGGCTTTGATCTTGCAATGCTCCTCCTCAGCCTCTGGAGCCGCTGGGATTACAGGCGAGTGCCACGGCACGCGGCTCATGTGGTGTTTTAATACACTATGCACATTGTGTCGTGTTCAAATATGGGTCAGTGCATCTATATCCTTAAGCAATTATAATTGTGTGTAATGAACGCATTTAATATTCTTTCTTCTAGATTTCTGGAAATATATAGTATATGATATTATCTATAGTCACTATTGTGCAATAGCACACCAGAACTAATTTATTATTTGTTTGCAATTATAACTTTGTATCTGTGGACCAGCCTTTCTCATCCCTCTCTCCCCTACACTTTGCCCAACCTATGGTAATCACTATTCTATTTTCAATCTCTATGAGATCAACTTTTATAGATTCCACATAGGAGTGAGATCATGTGGTATTTTCCTTTCTGTGCCTGACTTATTTAACTTAACATAAGAACCCATGTTCTAACATGCCCCCTAGTTTCGTTCCTGTTGAGGCAAAAGATGGGATTTTGCCCTTTTTGTGAATGCATAGTATTCCATAGTATACATATGCTATGGTTTCTTTATCCATTCATCAGTTGATAAGATACAAGCTGATTCACTTTCTTGGCCATTGTGAATAGTGCAGCAGTAAACATGGGATAAGTCAAGTTTTTCTTAAAGGCAACTGTGCATAATAATACAACCTACATATGATAGTGAAATCAATCACTTTCATAGTACCTGAGATTATACAGGGCATGTGTGCAGGGGTTGGGAATCTTGCAGATCATCCAAGAATTCTGCCTTCCACAGAAGTTAAAAATTTCTAACTTGTGATTCATATTATATGTCCTATTGTTGCCTCTGGAAGCTCATCAAGATTTTCCATTGTTCTCAGCTTTCTGAAATTTCATG